TGTTGGCATAGCATCGTGTTTTAGTTTCAATCTTTTTGAAAATTCCGCATCGAATTGTGCCTTGTTTGTAAACGAATCCGTGGTAAAATGAAGTGAACAAAGGACCAAGTTCTTACTGACGTGGCCTGCATCTTCATTAAAAATAAAGTTAATCCACTCTTTCCTAATGTTGGGATCAGAAGGAAGGCACTGCACAGCGTCTTGTATTAGGAGCATCTTCATCGTTTGGTTTCTGTGTATACCTGCGCGTTTGCCTCTCTCGTAAACACTACATGCACGAATCAGTGGGCGGGGTTAAACAGGCAGCGACGTAGAAGGCGGTGCTTATCCACACTATTACATCATAGAGTGGTACATTACAAAATCTGTAATTGTGGCAGACTAGCTTCAATATAAACTGTTTTAACGACAAAGTTTTGAGTTCTGAAACTTACAGGATGTTTTTTATAGTACAATTACCTCTTAAATGTCAAAAGATCATGGGAATTTTGGCTTCTCAGTTCATGACCCCTTTAAGAAAGATTCATTTTCGCACAGTTCCTTGCACAATATTACAACATGCTGTGAGATTTGAAAACTGATACTTATGAACGCTAGCGTCACATATACAGCTTTATATGTATGGGTTTTCTAACGCAGTAGGTTTGTTCAGTAGATCACGTGATACGGCATTGCTCTTGTGAAGTGAAGCGCTCCGGTACAAATACTGTGAACCTACAGTTCGACAAAACAACACGGCTACATCAGCGAATATGTTTTTGTATCACTATTGCATTCGTTAACACTGTCGGGTAGGTTTAGGGTTGGGTTTGGTGTATTTGCCAACACAATAGAGCATTAACCTTTTAGTGACACTCCCTGTACATTTGAATTCTCAATTGAACTCTTTACATATAAAGTAAAAAAAAAAACACCCAAAGAGTTTGATTTGTTATCTGAAGTGTGATCCTGTGAACACCAGTAGATGACACTTTTCCTCTGACACATACATACTTCTCACTACATTTACATTTATGTAGCTGATGCTTTCTAATAGTGCATTACAAATGAGGAATGCAACAAAGTGATTAATCTTAAGGAGGCAGCGACTTGACATCAGCCATAATGAAAAGTTCCAAGAATATTCAGACTAGAACAGAGATGAAATAAGACAAAGTAACTTTTTTAATGCATAGTTACCTCCAGGATTTCATCTGAGTTTACAGAAACAAGAAGTGAAACCAGTTTTGGGTAGGATTAGGTAGAATATGGTCATGCAGAATATGTGTTTTATAAGTACTAATAAACAGCCAATATGTTAATAATGGGCATGTTAATAAGCAACTTGTTAATAGTGTGAATTGGCCCCTAAACTAAAGTGTTAACACAAAATCAAAATGTTCAATGCATTTAATAGTTGCTCTACAGATGGAACAGATCTGAACCAAACTGCATGACTGACATAGTCATAAATCATTTTTGACAGTCTATGCTACAACTGCTAGAGTGTATGAACGAGTTTTACAGTACTATAAGTGGTTAGATAGGGTACGTGAGAGAGGAAGAGTTACATCTTAACTTGTCATAAAATCCCTGGCAGGCAACTTCGAGGACTGGTTTATCTTCACTAACCACTGCAGCAACTGCCCAGGCTTCCCCATGATATCCAGTTAGTAATCCAACACTTTCAGTCAACCAAATACTTTATGTTGACCATATTGTGCCTCATTACTGAAACTTACCTTGATCTGAATTTCATTGCCTACATGTATTTATGTGAAATCTTTGATTTAAGCCTCTGTAAATTCACCATGTTGTGTCCAAAAATATTGGCACCCTTGCACTTTTTTTCCCCAATTACCCACATTTTTACCTAAAAATGACAAAATATTTCTTCTCCAACTTTTTATTTCAGTATTACAGGACCTTTGTTTTTGATTCAGAACAAAATGGCATTGAGAAAATTATAGACACCTTAGACTTAATATTTGATAGAACAGCAATATACATATAATCAAGTACTTCCTAAAACCATCAACAAGCTTTCTGCACCTCTGTGCTGTAGGTTTGGCCCACTCTTCTTGCGCAAATCAAGTTCTCCCATATTAAATTGATGCCTTCCCATAACTGCAGTTTTCGGGCCTCTCCACAAGCTTTCAACGTGATTTAGATATAGACTCATTGCTGGCCACTGCAGAACAATCCAGAATTGTGTCTGCCTGGGTGCTTTTTGAAGTGCATTTAGGATGAACTAAAAGATACTGGGAGATTTGTAGAAGACTTTTGATGGAGACCAAGCTTTCTGACACCCTTTCTGACAATAGCTTAACAGACAGCATAAGAAACTTTGATTTCAAACTCTGAAGTGAATTTATCTTAACTAAAAAAGACAGGCAAACAGTCAGTAATAAAATAAGAACAAATAAATGACAAGCAATCGCACAAATAAATACAACAGCAAGATAAAAAAAACCTGTAATATCCAGGTACAAAAATACTACAGAAATGTATTTAACTGTAAAATAACACTGGACAGTCTTCCCTGTATAAATAAACATTAATGAACCAGACAGCAGCAGGTTTATTTAGGCTGCTGTCTCGTTAATACTTTGTGCACAGATCTAATAGTCCCAGAGAGTGCGCCAGTACTGTATTTCCTGTGTTGACTTTTCTGTCTTCTTGTGCTTGAATGTTAAAATTGGTAAGTAAATGATAAATCACTTGTAAATGATACATTCCATCATCTGTCCCGATCGTCTTTCAAGCTGAAAGGCTTGTGGGAATTTCCCGCGATATGAGCGCAGAACCTGCGGGAATGTGTAGATATTCCCGCACAGAAATTCAAGCCCTGCACACGTTGAAGGCAAAGGCAACAAAGCAACCACAAAACATCACTGAACCACCTCCATGTTTGACTGTAGGGAAGGTGTTCTTTTGTTAGAAGGCTTAATTTTGTTTTCTTTAAATATAGAGATGGTATGGTTTACCCATCTTCCCTCAGGACATTCTTCTATAAGTATTTTGTCATGTTCTGGCTAATTGCAATCTGGCTTTCTTATGTCAGTCGGTGGGGTCCTCATGGATTTCTCTTACCACATAACTCCCTTTCTTTGAGTTTTTGACAGATGATGCAAGTTGCTGGGTGAGTGCGCTGGTGCAAGAAACTGTCATACCTTGTGTCTGAAGGTCATCTTCAATCTGCTTTCTCCACAATTCGAATAGTCCCTCACTGCGATCTTCTATCAAGTCTTCTTATGTGGCCATGTCAAGTGCTGTTGGCTACAATGCCATGAGCCCTAAACATCTTGCTAACATGAAGCATGGTGGAAAGAGGAATATCGAGATCTCTGGAGATCTCACTTGTAGCCTCGAGGTTGTCCGTGGTTGGCTACAATCTTGTGCATGACCTCAGATAGTTCTCTGGTTTTCTTTCTTTTGTTCATGCTCATTGCGGTACACAGTAACACAAACAGGAGAATGAGTCATTTTCTCTATTCAGACTGGTTGAATGCATGATTATTATACTGCAGGCACTTTCATCTTGCGACAAGAAAGTTCAGTTGCAAAGTAAAAAAAAAAAAAATGAAATCTAATTATTTTTAACTACCTCTAGAAGATGTCAATAATATTGACCAGGCAATTTTAGGATTTTTCTGTGGAATTTGCTCTTTTTTTTTTTTTTTTGGTTCAACTGCACACTTACATATATGGATAACAAATGTTTTAATTTCAACAGTTTTTTGGAAGAAATTGTGCAAGGATGCCAACATTTTTGGCCGCGTACTGAACAGAAAAAAAAGAAGAATGGTTTGTCATTTCTTCTTCTGGAAATCTCACATTATTTTCTCACCAAATGTTACTACCTCTGTTTTCACATACACAGAAACGGGTCTATTAAAATATAGAATAGAATAGAATAGAAATGTCTGTTCTCAGAATATGCATTACTATTATGCAGTAATAAAAAAACACATAATGTGATTGAATTGGTCGGCTTTTGACAGACTGACAGAAAACCTGTTAGCTGCGATGATGGATCGCATGCACACTGCATTGTTTAAAAACCCATTAAAACAACAATGCAAGTACAGTAGCTACTATTTGAAGCATATAACAAGATGTGTGCCTGGCAACATGGTGTAGGAGGTGTGCGGCTGTCTTCAGGGTATATCACTGCCTCCTACTGCTCTACTTGACTTTCAGCTTTTACAATATCAGCTTCCAGGGGGGAAAAAAACCTTCCTTTTTCAGCTATGACAATCATACAACAATCACCATTTGTAAGGAAATTTCTTTTTAAAAAAAAGACAAATGCATACATAGTAGTCCATCATAATCCAGCTGTATATTTGTTTTTTTTTGTTTTTTTGTTTTTCATACGAATCCTCCAGTTCAGTTGTTTTTAGCTTATTTTCCAATCACAATGAGAAATGAAACCGCATTTAGACCCACATTGCAAAACAACACATTTTTAACATTCACTATGATTGAACTGACGTTCAATTTCAAATTCCGCCTCATCTCTGACAATTCCTACTTATATAATCTAACATGTCAGACGTTAATAACAGCACAACGGCTGTATTTGGGCACTTAGAGGTTTTTATACTGAATTTGCTCTTAACCTCAACACAGCATTCACTAGTCACCATTAGTGAATGTCATATCTAAAAGTGCCCACGTATTTGTCACAAATGAAAAGGAGTGATTGTTAAAAGGTAAAATGATGTTTGACTTGGTCCTCAAAAGTAACATTTTTGTTCTTTACAGACTTATTAATGACTAATTAATGAGGTAATTCACGTCTCACATGAGATACATAGCTATGACATGAGCCTACAAACAAATAAAAGTCACCAGTTTTGTAAATGGGGGGCTTAAGATTGACTACAGCAATAAATCAACTATAAATTGAGTCCACTGCTGATGTTCTGTAGTCCCTAATGATTGCTTACAATTCCCAACCTTGATGGCGTTATTATAGCATTTGAACTGTTTGTTGGACTGATCTGTGCACCTACCCCGAGTAGACAGCTTCTTTGTGTTGATGATCTTTGCAGCATACTCTTGCCCTGAGAGAACTTTCAGACATCTCCGCACCACAGAAAAGGCTCCCCTAAAAACCAGAAGAACATGGAAGCAAGGTCTGTATGTTGAACATTTAGTGCACTGTGAATGTAAACTTCAAGAAAAAGACGCAGGTTTACCTGCTAGGCAGGCAGTAATATATTGGATTATGCAATATTTCAATGTCTGAATTGAATTGCCACCCACAAATGCAATTATGTAAGCAGTTTGACTGCCCACAGAAAAAGACTGTGTGTGTGTGTGTTCAGTATGAGGGTGTGTGTGGGAGTAGAGCAGTGGGCACAAGGCCAGATGGAGTTGAAGACCCATCTCTGTAGAGGTGTTACATGCTCTCAAATCAAGAAAACAAGTATACAGTGCACTCGCTTAGGAAAAAAAATGCTGTAGTACAGAGTGGGTGGATGGAAAGAGGGAAGCAAGCAGATTTTTTTGTACTTCTGCCTCAACATTTCACAGCATTGTTACAGGCACTATGTGCCTCAACGTACAGGTATCTAAATTTAAGTGTGTAACATTTATGAACGTAATTATTCATAATTATAAGCTGGCTCATTTCATTGTATTGTACTGTAAGGTGTCTTGAGATATACACACTACATATGTGTGTGTGTGTGTGTGTGTGTATATATATATATACTGTATATGTGTATATATATACTCATACATACATACATACATGTATAATGTATCTTCTTACAGATCAAGAATTTGCCTAAATCCATTTGGGTTGTTACTGCAACTATGACTATATTTAAATCACAACTGTATGATGATTGTGCTAATACTCCACATTGTGATTTTTTTTCCCTCTCTCTGAAAGCATGAGATTGTTTTAATGCACCGTTAATGGCATAATGTTGGAATCACTCTTCAGATCTCGCCGCAGAACTTTTAAGTCATTTCCTCTGTGGATCTCCTCCACCCAGTGTCTGCTTGTTATGTAATGAAAGTTGCGTTATGTGCCTTCTTAAGTTAGGACATACTGATCAATTCTACACATACGGTGATTTCATATTATGCTACATTCAAACCAAACCCTACCAGATTTGCCTCACAACCACTTTCAGATGAAACTCGTAGTGGATTTGCAGTTCTATCTATCGGGGATATTTTCCAGCTACGTTGTCCTTATTCTTTAATGGACAAGCTGTCTGACAGTTCTAACGCTCTTAACTTGAGCTGATATGTTACAAAAGCATTGCATTGGAATGAAAATAACATCTCGGGCCATTGTGCAGCTCAAACATACCTTGATATCGGTTTAAAGAAATGCAGCGATTAGAACTTACTTTCCCAGTTCCTCAAAAAGCTGGTATTCCTCTGTGAAGCGCGTGCAGGTGATGGTTGCCATCCTGGAGATGTGTGCGTTTCCTGCGTCTGATGAGAGTGTTGTGAGGTGATGCGTTTGAAGCGTCAGGCAGGAGGGACAGGAGCGCGATCAAACGCTTGGTCTGGAGATCGTTTTCTATATCGGTAAAGTGGAAGTGGAATGAGGAAAAAAGGATAGATCTTTCTGTGGCTGCCTGCGACTGGCTGCTGTCCTCCATACACAGCCCTCGTTACCATGGCAGCCACATCCTCCTCCTCTCCTCACATGCTCACACACATGAAGCCATGCAGACAGTAAAACACACCCACACACTTTCAGTGTGCATCACACTGTTACTTCACAGCAGTCTGCATATACTGTATGAAGAGATGGCCAAAATAGCTATTTTAAATGCTCTCGGATGAAACGAAGCCTACAGTACTTTTTCATATTCGCATTCAGTCAAAGTCCTTTCATTCAAACGCAAGCATTGCAGCATAGATTTTTACACATTGGGATGGCCTGTTATTGCCTATTGCTATTAGTAGAAATTCCCTTGCATGTGAATTTAATGATGTCTGTCTTTTGCTCTATCTATAGAAGAAATAATAGAAAAGAATCAATGCACAATTTACCCAAAGTGGCTGATAGGCCTTACAGGCTCATTAGGGACAGGTTAGGCACCAGGGGCATCTATGAGAGTCCGGACTGATCTGAAAATAGGGCTGGGTGATAGACGATATATTGAGATCGGATAAAATTTATGTCGATAACGATGATAAGCTCTGGACATTGTTACTCTATGGATTCATCTAACAGCAGACATAAATGCAACAACAGCCAGTCAGTGCATGTATCTAATAACTCTGCATGTTCTGCATGTCTCTGTGTAAATGAATGGTATAATTTTGTCTAATACACAAACTCAAACACACGTGACACTCATGGTGATTCCAGCATCTGCGTCTCAATATATGAGACATGAACATGTAAACTTCCTCTCCAGAGCTACTGTGAGAGTCACTTTACCAGCTTTACACAAAAACTACCATTAAACACACACTGAAACTCACAGATCTTCACCACAAACCGATAAAATTAGAGTTTGGTTTAACTTGAAGAAATTATGAAATATATTACTATTGTACTTCAATACCACGACTGAGGTGCCCTTGAGCAAGGCACCGAACCCCCAACTGCTCCCCGGGCGCCGCAGCAAAAAATGGCTGCCCACTACTCCGGGGGTGTGTTCACTAT